CTCCAAAGGTCAAGGTGAGGTCCCTGTTGGGGAGGGGGGAAACTGCTGCTATTTGGAACCCTAACAGTAACATCTGACATCCCAGAAATGCAGCATCAATTCAGCACTTTAGTAAGCATTCCTGATAACAGCATTTCACTTTTATTATTCCAAAATTTGTTTATTTTGATTTCAAGTGTATTTTATTTAATATCTTAATCACACATGTTAAAATATAATGTGGTCCCAATCATAGGATATTCTCTATTTACTTTTTAAATTTTTTTTCATTTTTTTGGTCTTTTTGAGACAGGGTCCCCCAGTAGCCCTAGCTGGCCTGGAACTCACTATGTAGACCAGGCTGGCCTTAAACTCACAGAGATCCGCCTGCCTCTGCTGGGATTAAAGTCGTGCACCACCACACCCAGCTAGAATTTTTTCAGTTTTTTGAGACAAGGTCTAACTTGGAACTTACTATATATAGACCAGGCCAGTCTCAGTCTCTCAGAGATCCACCTACCAGTGCCTCTCAAGTGCTGGGCTTAAAAGTGGGGGCCCTCATGCCCAGCTATTTATCATTTAAATTGTTTTATATTAATTATACATGGTACTGTTGCATAAGGACATTTTTATACACGTATATATCATGCATTGTACATACTCCCCTCCAGTAACATTCCTTTATCTAAACTGCTCAAATTCAAAAGTGTTTGTAGCTGGGCGTGGTGGTGGTGCACGCCTTTAATCCCTGCACTCAGGAGGCAGAGGCTGGGGGATCTCTGTGAGTTCAAGGTCAGCCTGGTCTACATAGTGAGTTCCAGGACAGCTGGGACTACAGGTAGACCCTGTCTCAAAAAGACAAAAAAAAAAGTGTTTGTATGTATGTGTAGGGGATGGAAGCAAGAGACAAAGGAATCCCATATGTCTGGCATTAAAAACCTTCACATGTTGACAGGCTATCCTTTTAGTTTTACATCAGGTTTAGTTACAACAAAGACAGTGGTTCATGTATTTTCTATCACAGAAATGCAAGATAGTAACAGGAAACTGGGTCTTATTCCATGTGGCCTTTGTTTCTTTCCCTTTTAGATTATTGGTCATACAACTCAATTTCAGGAAATTAGACAACACAAGGAAAATAATTTTTAAAGGGTTTTTTATGTGTATGAGTGTTTTACTTACATGTATGTAAGTGTACCCATGTCATGCAATGCCCATGGAGGCCAGAAGAGAGCATCAGATCCTCTAGACAGTTGTTAGTTGCCATGTGCGTACTAGGAACTAAACTCAGGTTTTCTGCAAGAGCAGCTAGTGCTCTTAACCACTGAGCCGTCTCTTCATCCCTAAAAATAATTTTAATATGACCATTCAGAGTAAAAACTATTAATATTTTGATATATGTTATAATTTTTTTCTGAGACAGGGTCTCACTACTGTAGTCCTGACTGGCCTGAACCTTGCTGTACAGACCAGGCTGAACTGGAACTCACAAAGTTCCTTCCACTTCTGCCTCCTGAGTGCTGGGATTAAAGGCGTGTACTACCATGCCTTTTTTCTACATATATAAAAACTATAACTCTTTCTAGGAGTGAAAGTCTAGAGAGTGAGCACCTGATCTGTAAAAACCTTACATGATTTATGAAATGATTGAATTTGTTCATATATTTGATCACACACATAATTTTTTTAAGAAGTTTGTTTCTAAAAAGAAAAATTAACTCATTATAAAGTAAAATATAATGAGAAAGTGTCAAGAACAGGGAGCCGTGAGCTTGAAGGAAGTCAGAAGGAAGAACATTTTACATGACTTGTAGACTTCACGCCAATCCTTCTGAATCAAAATATGCTTTTTTTTTTTTTGACTTTTTGAGAAAGGGTCTTCCTATATCCTCAGCTGGCCTGGAACTCACTATCTAGACCAGGCTGGCCTCAAACTCACAAAGATCAGCCTGCCTCTGCCTCCCCAGTGCTGAGATTAAAGGTGTGTGCCACCACACCCAGCCTCAAAATATACATTTTAATCAGACCCCTAGTTGACTTCCATGCACAGTACAGTTGGAGAAGTTCCACCTTGAACCCATGGTTTGTAGTCTTTAATATATTAAAACATCCTAGGGATCTTTGAAACTTCCCAGTGTTCAGCTCAATCTGCACCTCATATCAGTTAACTAAGAACCTCTGGGGGTGGAACCCAGTGACTAAACCTTTTTTTTTTTTTTTTTTTTGTTTTTTTGAAGCAGGGTCTCCCTGTAGCCCCAGCTGTCCTGGAAGTCACTATGTAGACCAGGCTGGCCTTGAACTCACAGAGATCCGCCTGCCTCTGCTTCCCAAGTGCTGGGACTACAGGCGTACCTTTTTAATGCTCTCCGGATGATTCAAAATACAGCCAAGGGTGTGGCATTGATAGGTATAGTGGTGAGCATAGTGCCTTCCAAAATATAGCCAAGGTTAAGATCCATGGTCCCAGTGCATGTAAAACTCATCAGGCTGAAAAGGTCAAAGAAGTCAGCCACCTACTAATCCAGGGACCCTCACTTTTGAGTGGGTATGGGATCCATTTGGGGAGCTTTTACTAAAACCTCAAAAGGCAAGCCATATTGCAGAAATCCTGATTCATTTACTGTGAGACAGATCCCTTGGGCATAAGGGCTTCCCAGCCAAATGTGTGGCCAAAATCGAAGACCTCTGGTCTAAATCACTTCTACCTCCACAAAAATTATAAAATGAGGGCTGAAGCCCACATTTTAAGAGTCTAGATCCTTTCTCTCACACATTCCTATAAGTAACTTTTCTCATCACTGCAAGGTCATTCTTTATAACTATATGATAATCTAGTTAATGTAATAAAGTCTGCATTACCCTAAAAAGCAATGGAAAATGTTCTTCATTCTAATTTCCCCCAAGCTCATGCTTTCCTGTTGTTGACACTTTCCCATTATATTTTATTTTATGTTTATCTTTTCACTCTCTTTTTTAATGTTTTATTTTTATTATATGTGAATGAGTATATTGCTTGTATGTATACCTGTATAAGTGTACCTGTGACCTGTGTCATGCAATGCCTGCAGAAGTCAGAAAAGGGCATTAGATCCCCTGGAACTGAAATTATAGATAGTTGTTAGCCACCATGTGGGTGCTGGGAACTGAACCCGGGTCCCCTGCAAGAGCAGCCAGTGCTCTCAACCACTGAGCAATCTCTCCAGCCCCCTCAACCTCTTTTTAACATTCATTTATTTTGTATGTGTGTGCATGCATGTGTGCCACAAGCTCATGTGGAGGTCCAAAGACAACTCTGAGGAGTTGGTTCTCTCCTTCCACCTCACATGTCCTGGGGATTGAACTCAGGTGGTCAGCCATGGTGTGGTCCCTTCACTCACTGAGCCATCTCACTGGCCCATTTTTCAATCTCTTTATAAACAGCATGGCCTTGACCAAGTTATTTAACTTTTCTGAGACTCATTTTCTTTCAACTGTTAATTGAACTAATCTCAGAGTTGTTGCCAGATTTAGAAGAAAAAATATATAATACCCAAATTTAAATTTCAGATGAAAAAATAACCTTAATATAAACATATACCATACAATATTTGAGACATAGTTATACCAGAAATGTATGTTATCTATATGCCATTCAAATTTATCTGAGCATCCTGTATTTATATTTGGGCTTACAACACAAGTATTATATAAAAATAAAGTTGATATTGTATTGAAAGTTCAGGGCCATAAGATTCCTTTATTTCACTCACCTGTACATTCAACCTCCATCACTCCCATCATTATTAACAACATACATAAAGACAGCTGGACTTTATAATTCAAAATAACAATCTTTAGTTATGAGCATGTGATAAGTAATCCAATACAAAGATATGTTTTCTTTTTTCTTTATCAGTGAATAGCATCTTATTTCATTCATTAGTAGACCAATAGTAAGAAAGAGATCAGATACATACATACATACATATATACATATATACATACACACACAGATAGCTACTGCATTAAGTACCTTTAGCAAATAAAATAAAAAAAAAAAGCAAAGAGAATTTGGGAAAGTGTTTAATACAAGGCTTTATTCTTCCTCTTAGAGAGTAGATGTGAAGCTCCAGCTGAGTTTCTGAATGGGAAGGCTGCCATGGAAAACACCACAGCTGGACTCAGCATGGTCTACACCTGCCACAGAGGCTACAGCCTGGAGGGGCGCCCAGAGGCACACTGTGCTGAAAATGGAACTTGGAGTCACCCGGCTCCAGTCTGCAAACGTGTGTGTTGAGTTTAGGAGTGCTTCTATTCACATTCATCTTCATGATTAGCTTCCCACAGATCTCAAATGTAGGGGAAACATTACTGATAAGTGAGATTGGGCCAGGGAAGGTAATCTGTGGCCATCAAACCCAACATTATGGGAATTTTTAAAATTTTATTTATTTTATATGTATGAGTGTTTTCCCTACAAGTATGCAAGTGCACCCATGTCATGCAATGCCCATGGAGGTCAAAAGAGGGCATTGGATGCCCTGGAACTAGAGTTATGGACCATTGTTAGCCACCATGTGAGTGCTGGGATTGAACCCAGGTCCCCTGCAAGAGCACCTAGTATTCTTAGCCACTGAGTCATCTCTCCAATCTCTATGGGAAATTTTTAAACTAATTGCATTGTTATAAAATCCTGTCTAAGAATCAGCTTTTATCAGGCTCCCTGATTGATTATAAAATTTAGGCATTAAGAGAAAATAAAAATTAGTGAAAGCATTTTGAAATAAAGGTATAGTGAATTCTGTTTAAGATAAGAAAAAGGTACAGAAAGAAGCCATGTTTAAAGTACAATGTTAATATAAAACATATAACAATAGCAAAGCAAGGTAAGTTGACTACTTGAATGAAAAGAATATAAATCAAATATAAATTACAGCTGGTTACTGTTTCAAGTATTGTAGTGGAAAAACTGAGCCTCTAGGATTAAGTAGACTCCTAGTGCACCAACCAAGACTTATTTTGTGCCCACCTAAAATCAGAAAAACTGAAATTGCTTGAAGTATATGTTGATATGTATGACACACACTTGCTCTGAGCAAGCCTAGCACCACTGTCACTTCCTGTGTTTTTCCAAATCTATGGAAATAGGCCTATCTTTATCAATCAGGCTTGAAATGTCACTGTGAGGTTCTAATGTTGTGGTCACAGCAGTATGGGTCTAAAGTCATGCTCAACTCACGTGGAAATGCCTGGCAAGTCTCTGCTTCCATCCTCTGAAGGAAGCTCAGCAAAAGAAAGTAATTTGACAGAATTTACTGGATTCTTAGTATCCCTCAAATATTGAGGGAATATCTGATACAGCCCTTGGTTTCTTATATGCCTGATTTTTATCTTTATAAATAATTTCAAGTAGATTACAAGCAAATCTATGTTTAATGTTTGAAATTCTACATTTGCAAAGCCTCATGTGGGGCATGATAGAACATGTCTGCAGTCCCAGCACTCAGGAGGCTGAGTCAGGAGGATCATGAGTTTAAGGCCAGTCTGGGCTGCATAGTGAGACCCAGACTTTAAAAAGACAAAAGACTCATATTCTTATCTTTGAGATTCCATGCCCTGTAAGCATCTACTTTGTCTTCAAAGAAATGAATTAGGAAAAGAGGGAAAATATCAGTAAGCATTTCCTTTTTCTTTTTTAACAGCAAATCCATGTCCTGTTCCTTTTGTGATTCCTGAGAATGCTCTACTTTCTGAAAAGGAGTTTTATGTTGACCAGAATGTAACTATCAAATGTAGGGAAGGCTTCCTGCTCAAGGGCCATGGTGTCATCACCTGCAACCCCGATGAGACATGGACCCAGACAAGTGCCAAATGTGAAAGTGAGTCAGTGGTGGAGCCCAGTGGTGTCCATTAGGGTGGGATGCTTCCCCACCTTTGAGGGTTCTTTCCTCTGTTTTAAATGTAGTTTTATTTACTATTTGTGTGTGTGTGTGTGTTGTGTGTGTGTGTGAGAGCAAAGGGAGCATAAAACATAGTGTACATACAAAGGTCAGAGGAGAGTGGGTTCTGTCCTACTATTTTGTGTCCATGGAATTGAACTCAGTTTGTCAGGTTTATACAAGTGCTTTTACCTACTGAGCCATCTTGCCAGCCCTATGAAGTAATTTTCAATCAAGTAACTTAAAACTGTGTATTTAGATTTCTGCACTAATATAGTTATCGTCTGTATAAATATTTAAAACAAAAATGATCTTTGAGTATTGAACATCAAAAGAAAACCACACTTTCTAAGAATAAGCATGACACTAAGTTTAAAATGTGTATTTTTCTCCACACCATCAGAGTCCTTACATTATCTTTTAATAGGCTGCAAGTGCTTTATTGTGGGTCTCTCCCTCCCCTCAAGGGCCGTTGGCCACTGATCCACAAGGACAAAGGGAGCAGAAGCAATGAACGGGTTCAGGACGGCCAGTGAGCATGACGGAAAAGACTTTCTGGGGGTCAGATTCAATGATACAGCTCCGTTTATTCAGTGAGGGTCAGGGAAAATATAGTGTGGAGGCAGCAGCCAAAGCTTCAGCTGATAGGTGCCCATAGTGTGTTTTATTTATATGTGGTAGGGGGATCCTATCATCTGACTATAGGGCAATACCTAATTATCATATCGAAAAAACCTGGGGGCAGTTTTAGTGCAGGTAACTATGCCAAAGGTCATGTTCCACATAAGGTCAGGCATCCGTGCTTGGTGGCACTTTCAAGGTAAGTCAGGCAGAGAGCAGGAGGCCCCCGCTGAGAAAGGGAGTCCTTCCATATAGTGCCGAGCCCCTTAGAGCTATCCAGACATGGAGGACTACAACCTTAGCAGCAGGGTCCCCCAACATCTCACCCTATTTTGTTTTACAATAGAGAAGTGTCATCACAAGCTTTAAGAGCCAACTCATCTATCTCGGGAGAATCCAAAGTTTCATAATGGGCCATGACCTGATTGGTAGTAATTTTTGTAATGGCAGTAATTTGTCAGCGAAGAAATTGTATGAAACAGGAAACAAGCATCAAAATGACACACAGCATGATCAGGGGGCTAACAAAGGGTAGGAACCATGAAAACAGGGGGTTACTAAACCAACCTAATTGTTTGGTGGGTTGAAATCTTGAAAATAGATCGTTACGAAGTTTTTTGAGAGTATTAACATTGGCCTCGACAACATTTGATTCATTTACAAAAAAACAGCATTCCTCTCCCAATACTATACATGTCCCCCCATGTTCAGCAGTTATTAAGTCTAGTGCTCTTCTGTTCTGGAGCACAACCCCAGCAAGAGACCTCGACAACATTTGATTCATTTACAAAAAAACAGCATTCCTCTCCCAATACTATACATGTCCCCCCATGTTCAGCAGTTATTAAGTCTAGTGCTCTTCTGTTCTGGAGCACAACCCCAGCAAGAGAGTTCATTTGTTGTTGGGAGACTCAAGGCTGTCAGTCATGGATGCCATTGCCTGGTCAAGCTTGTCTCAAAAGTCTCCTGCCAGGTGATGGGTTTGTACAATAGCAGCAGTCGCAGCACCTCCAGCACCCAGAGAGATCGCAAGTCCGAGTCCCACCAGCAGGGGGATGAAGATTTCTCTCTGCTGGTGGCTGTGAAGGAGGAGCGCAGCCTCTTCTTCCTTGAATAGGTACACCTGGGGAGTAATCATTATAGCTACACAAAAGGTGGACAAAGAGGAGTTAACACAGTGTTGGGCTTTTCCTTTACACCATAGAAAAAGTGGAGGGGCAATACGTGCTGTCCTGGAGATAGTAATGTTAGTGAGGCATTTGAATGAATAGGCTTATTCTTGCTGTAAATGCAAATTGGATAGTTAGCCAGTTGTTTGAATAAGGGAATATCCATCAGATGAGAGTCAGTGAAATCTTTTTTTTGTTTCTGGGTAAAGAAGGGTGGTATTAACTGGTACTGCTGTCAGTAAAGGTCTATTGCTGGATGCACAAAAGAAACAGTTAGAGGCATTAGGGTGGGTGGTGAAGGGAAGAAAGTTAGCAACATATTGAATGTATTGGCTCCAGGACATAGTTGGTCTTATCTGGTCCTCTGTTTTTCCTGCAGAATAATAATATGATGAGTTAGCACAGGCTTAGCTGCAGGTACAAGCTGTCAAGAGATATGAAAGTCAGCAGTAGGGTAGTTAGAGAATGCATCTGGGTAGAAGTTTCCCATTACTCTGACACGCCAGCGATCGTCCCATGGATCTGCAACATATATTAGGGAATAGTCATGGTTCTCATAGAGATACTTATTATCCTTTAGGTAGATGGGTCTTTCCTGTCCTGTTATACCCTGATATCCCCCAGTTAATCCTAGTTCCAACCTACAGGGATTGAAATAGTGGCAGCTCCCATAGGTATCAACTTCCTTGAGGCATGATGGACCTGTCTGTCGGAAAGGAAAGCAAACATATTCATTAGTTTTGTATCTGCTAGCATTTGGGTATATTATGATTTCTATGTGTTTTTGAAAGCCCACTACGGGGCAGTCTGTGCTTCCGATTATTTGATTTTTTCCTTGAAATGTTTCCCTGACATAAAATCTCCAGAGCATAGTATTAGGGTGGGTGGGGCTGGCCGAAGCTGCCAGGAGGGGGTACCGAGCCAGTAGACATTGTCTTGTTATTTGTAGGTTAATGGGGAAAGCTTCTACAGGCAGGGTTTTTGGGTCCTGAGGCCATTGTGGCTGAGGATCCTGGGGGCAATAACTCCCATTATCCCTGAGATTACAGAGCTGTTCAATGGCTGTGGGGCATGGTGCCACAGATGGTGGCTCTGGTGGTGAAGGGGGAGGGGGATTTATCTGGGAATCTTCAGAAGTTTTTGGAGCCTGGGTTTTAACATCTGGGTCTGTTAAATCAGTCCATGAGGATTCGTAAGGGGGGAAGAGGGAGGTAAAGGTTATTTTTGTTGATGGGTGGTTTTTGTCTGACTTGGTCAATCTTTATTTTGGGGGCTGTTGAATCTGTTACTGGGCAATATTCAGGATTTTTTTCTTTATTTTTTAGGTCTGTCAAATCTGATGTTGGGCAATTTTTAGGGTCTTTTTCATCATTTGAACCCTCCCCTTTATTATCCCCTGGTGCTAGTAAATTCTCCTCAGCCTTAGGTGGGTTTCCTAGGCATTGTCAGATGGCAGCTATTATGGAGAGGAAGGAAAGGGGAAAATGGTGCCTTTCTTGGATTTCCTTTTTATGAGCCAGATAGGCAACATGGGTCCAGACCTCTGGGTCAGAAATGTCTGCTGACAGGATCCAGGGTGTGAATTGAAATACTTCATTCGTCTTCTTTGAGCCTTCCTTTTGGAAAATCTTAAGTCCTCTTGATTTAAGTAGGGCTTTAAGGGAGCATATTTGGAGGGTTTTGGCGTGATACTGAATTCCCATTAGAGAAAGGAAAGGAAGTGTTGTCAGTGGCATTCAACATTCCCGAGGCAGCCTGCCATTGGGGGATTGAGATGTTTTGACACACATAAGCCTAGCTGCAGATTTAAGAAACAGGCAACCATCCTTGAGACTTTTAACAGGTTACTGCATTACCAGATTTTTATGATAGTTGTAAAGGTTATTACCTACACCCAGTTGGGCTGTCAGGTCTGGAAAGAGGGCAGGGGGCCTTCGGCCAATATCAGGGAGTTGCCCTGACCAAGAGGCTTCAGTTGACCACAAACCATATCCAGACCCTCAAGAAGGCGGTAACCGAAAGTAAAGCAAAGAAAGAGAGAGACTCCCCCCAACCCCTCCTTTGTTCTCATGCTGCAGGTCAATTTAAATTATCACCAGGAAGCCTCTGGGGGCGTGGAGGACTATAGGAGAAAGCCTTCCACATGGGGTGGTCCTCTCTGATGAGCCCCTTCCCCAAAAATGTTTACAGAAAAAATGGCTTTTAAAATCTTTTTTCCCTCTGTCTATGGCACAAGCTGCCTTAAATTCTTTAAGTGCTCCATGGGCCACCCGCTTTAAATCCTTTGTTTTTGTTTACGTTATGGGGCACTTGAAGCCTGAGTGCCTTTTTGTCCAGGGCAGGTCAATTTAAATTCTCACCTAACTGGTTTAACTTGAGCTTGAGTTCCCCAGGGGTGAAATAACAAAACAGATTAAGGAAGTTTGTTATTTTAGAAGTTTAATTCAAAGCTTGTGTGAAAATCCCTTAGAACTTTGGGGATTTTATGTTTCTAGGGGTGTTGTTCAAAATAGAAAAGGAAAGAGGGGTGAAACATCGATTCCTAGGGGAACATACCTGAGCAGGAACACCTCAGGAGATTCCACCTAGTCCACAGCGCAAGCCTGCCCACAAATTTAAGAGATCCTGCGACCGGCTCCAAAAGCAATTAACTGGTCGTTGTATTACCAGCTTTTGCATTAGAAAGATGTACAGATAGGGGTCTTGTCTACACCCAGGCGGGCAGTCAGGGTCCATTCAGAGGGCTAAGAGCCTTTGGCTAACATCAGGGGGTAACCCTGATCAGAAAGCCTCAATTGCTTTTTCTTCTTCAATGATCCCACGTGAAGACTAAGACCGAAAATAAAAGGAGGAAAAAGGAGAGACGGCCAATCCTCAAGGGTGGGATGGCTTAAGGCAAACCTGCCGTTACCATGTTGGAGAGAGGGGGTACTCACAAACTCCATGTGTTCCAGGAGCCTCACATTTGGGCACCAGCTGTGGGTCTCTCCCTCCCCTCGAGGGCCATTGGCCACTGATCCATGAGGACCAAGGGAGCAGAAGCGACGAACAGGTTCAGGACGGCCAGTGAGCATGACGGAAAAGACTTTCCGGGGGTCAGATTCAATGATATAGCTCCGTTTATTCAGTGGGGGTCAGGGAAAATATAGTGTGGAGGCAGCAGCCAAAGCTTCAGCTGATAGGTGCCCATAGTGTGTTTTATTTACATGTGGTAGGGGGATCCTATCATTGACTATAGGGCAATGCCTAATTATCATATAGAAAAAAACTGGGGGCAGTTTTATTGCAGGTAACTATGCCAAAAGTCATGTTCCAAATAAGGTCAGGCATCCATGCTTGGTGGCACTTTCCAGGTAAGTCAGGCAGACAGCAGGAGGCCCCCACTGAGAAATGGAGTCCTTCCATATGGTGCTAAGCCCCTTAGAGCTATCCACACATAGAGGACTACAACCTTAGCATCAGGGTCCCCCAACACTTTATGGATACAAAATTTATCCCATGGTGGTTTTCAACTTTCAGCCTACCGCAGAGCCACTTTAAAAGTGAAACAGATAGCTGGGATCTACCCCAGAGTTTCTGATTCAGTAGGTCTGGGACAAGGCCTAATAATCTTAATTTCTGACAGTTCCTGGGTATTGCTGATTGTTATGTTTTGAATATGAAATGTCCCCACTGATGGTTCATTGCTAGTTACACTATTTTGAGAGGTCATGGAAAATTTAGGAGGTAGGGCCTACTCAATGAAAGTCAGTTACTGGGGGCAGGACCTTGGGGACACCTTGTCCCTGGCCCCATTCTGTCTCTCCCTCAGCTTCCTGTTTATTATGAGGAAAAGAATCATCTCTACCATGTCTCTCCTCAGCCACGATGTACTGTCCAAGCACTGAGTCCAACTTCCATAGACCGAACCCTCTGAAACATGAGCCAAGATAAGCCCTTCATCTCTTAACTTGTTTCTATCAAGCATTCTGTTCTTGGTGATGAGAAAAGTAACTAAAAGATGAATGCTGCTGGTCCAGGAACCATAATTTGAAGACTGTTGGTCTAGCATCATGATGATCCATCCTGCTAATTTTGAGGATTGCTGGCATAGCACCATGTTAACCCATCCAAGCAGCTAATTTTTTTTTTCTTTTTTTTAGTATTTTTGAGACAGGGTCTCCCTGTAGCCCCAACTGGCCTGGTACTCACTATGCTTGTAATTTTGGTGTTTGCTGGCATAGCACCATGTTAACCCATCCAAGCAGCTAATTTTTTTTTTTCTTTTTTTTAGTATTTTTGAGACAGGGTCTCCCTGTAGCCCCAGATGGCCTGGAACTTGCTATGTAGACCAGGCTGGCCTTGAACTCACAGAGATCTGCCTGCCTCTGCCTCCCGAGTACTTGGGTTAAAGGCTGCTGATTTTGAGAACTTCTGATCTAGCACCAGGTTGACCCACCCAGGCTATAATAGTGCCTTTGGCAATCTAGAGACTTCTCTTGCTTACCTTGTGATATCTCCTGACATCACTTAATGATCACTCCCTACTTCCACCTTCGATATCGCCCTATTCAACTGCCCACTCTCCAGGCTCCCTTGATGCCCAAGCTACTCCCTTGACAGCAATAATAAAAGTATGCATTGGGCCTAACCACATGCAAGGTACTGGGCTACACAATGTATAAAGATATTATGCTCACATTGCTTTCCATCTTGAGAAGCGTTGCACTCCAATTAATGAGATAAAGAATATGGGTGTGAAGAATTCTTCCCTCCAAGATTTTAACTACGAGCTTACACAAATGCCTTATCTTCTCTGAATCATGGAGCTCTCATTTGTTAATAGTAGTTATAATACCTATTGTATGTGTTTGTTTTCAAGAATAAATCAATCAGTGTATACTGCATCAGCAGTTTTTCCAGATAGGAAGAAATGCCCAGTAGCTCAACTCCCTGCAATTTTAACTAGCAGCCTATTGCTGCATTAAAAAATTGATTTTTTTGCTCCAGAAAACTGTGTACTATATTTTGAGTCAGGACTTAGTTCTCAAAAGCTCTATTCCTAACAAAAGTGAAAGAACAAACTATATGCATGTTAGATTTCCCTTTGGCCTTGTAGTCTAATTTAAAGCCACCAGCTTGAAGCGAACCAGGCCAAGTGGCCTCATTCTGCCCACATACCTTACCTTGGTATTGGCTCCCAAGACTTACCATTCAGACCACTGGAAGTAAGAGCAGGAAGAGATATGCTCTTGTTACAAATGTTCCTTCCATGCATGCCCAATGATTCCTCAGTATGCTAGAGAGGACCACAGGTTGCCTGGAGAGGACACAGCTTCCACTGTTAATCCTCCAGCCTCCTTTGCATTTTCTATCAAACAGGAAGTTTTGGATTAGAACCAAATTTTCTTTCTTTGCCTAGGCAGCAGCCTTCCTCATTCTCTCTACCTGCTTCTGCTATTTGTCCCACAAATCAGTGATTAAAATTTAATGTACTTGCGAGTCACCCAGGGAAGGTATGTAAAATGCAAGTTCAGAAGTCGGAAATGCCAGAAATGTGCATGTTGAATAAGAACCCCAGGTGATCCTCATGTAAGTGGTCTGAAATCCAAACTTTGATTATCAAATTGCTACAAACCAACCGTGCGTTTCCCATGATCTTTGTACACGGTTGTTGTCCCAGTCTTGGAACTGTTTTCCCTCTGATCCATCACATTTTATAGCCTAGTCCAAATGCCACTTTCACTACAATTCAGACCCTATCAGTAGTAAACACAGCCATATTCTTCAGTGTCTGCAGTACAGGATCCACTCATAATGCAGCTCACCCAAGGTCGTGTGTAGCACTTGTCTGTCCTTCCCCACTTGTCTGAGCAAAGGGACATTTTCTTCATTTCTTTCTTTCCAGTTTATGGTACATTTTGCCTAGGAAAATTAAAATAAAATTTAGAAAAATCATACAAAATTTAGCATTTCCTCTACCAAATTTTAATAGGACAATGATAACAAAATAACTTTTTTTTTGGTCTTTTTGAGACAAGGTCTCTCTGTAACTTTTTAAAAAAATATTTTATTTATTATTTTTATTTTATGTGTATGACTGTTATGCCTGCATGTATGTTAAGTGTACCCATGTCATGCAATGCCTACAGAGGACAGAAGAAGATGTTGGATTCCGTGGTGCTGGAGTTACAGACAGCTGTTAGCTGCCATGTGGGTGCTGGGAATCAAACCCAGGTCTTCTACAAGAACAGTCAGTGTTCTTAACTGTTGAGCCATCTCTCCAGCCAAAAAATAACTTTTTTAAAGCCAGTTCATAAAGTCTGGTCATCCAAAAGGAAGATTTATACTGACTAGCAACCTGTCTCCTACTCAACTTTGACTTGTAACCCACCCCAGAATTATCTTAAGACATCTTATAAAAATCTTCTAAACAAATTTAGTTATAAAAACTTTTATTTAAGTATACAGCACAAGGCTAGGTGTGGTGGCGCATGCCTTTAATCCCAGCACTCAGGAGGCAGAGGCAGGTGGATCTCTGTGAGTTTGAGGCTAGCCTGGTCTACATAGTGAGTTCCAGGCCAGCTGGGGCTACAGAGAGACTCTGTCTCAAAAATATCATATGTATGTGTGTGTGTGTGTGTGTGTGTGTGTGTGTGTGTGCGTGTGTTGAAGATGCCATTGAAATGCCATTGAAAAAGGATGGCTATTCCATCTCACATATGTCCCAAAAGAACATGAGTATTTTACAGTTTTGAAAAGAAGTGTTGAGTGTCATAAACCACATCCACAGACCACTCTCAGTATTCATTTTGTTTCCAAAATATATATTGAGCATTTGTTCGATGCCAGTAATAAAAATGTCATAATTCACGATCATTACTCAGAAGTGGTGGGCTGCTATCCTCCTGCTTTTTCTGTGCTAATATAATAAGCATCCTGTATTGACTCTTTCAGGCAGCCATCTCCTTGTTGAGGAATAAGAGCTCTATCCTGGTCTCCTCCATGCTGCTTTCCTTCAGTTTCAGATAGCTCAGCCTGACCATTTGAATGACAGTACAAAAATCCTTTGATCTTGTACATTTAATTGTGAGCACCAGTCGATTATTCTTTCAGTTCATACTATTCTAGACATTTTTCATGTGAAATGTTTCCTTTATGCATTTTACTTTTGCTCTTTAAATTAATTCAGTCTCCATGGTAAGGTTGTGTTTTCAATCTGGGTTACTAGTATAGGCTTAATTCCTATTTTTGATTTCCTATAGAAATTTCATGTGGTCCACCAGCACATGTGGAAAATGCAATTGCTCGAGGTGTACACTACCAATATGGAGACATGATCACCTACTCCTGTTATAGTGGGTACATGTTGGAAGGTTCCCTGAGAAGTGTTTGCCTAGAAAATGGAACATGGACATCGCCTCCTATTTGCAGAGGTAAGGAAATATTTGAATGGCTGTTTCTTAGTGAAGCTGCAAGGATATGTGTGCATAAATCCAATATCACGAACAATTAGTACACATGCTACTTTGATTTTCCTTGGCTTTAAATTTAGCTTAACAGCTGCACCATTTTCCTTAACTTTATGGTTTGTATTCTGAAATCTTGTACATAGAACTCTGAAGTTCTATTCTTGAAATTCTGCAAAATTTCAAGAAAAAAGGTAAAGAGGTATCAAAATACATTCTTCTAGAACTTAAACCTTCCTAATAGCATGATTTTTTGAAAATCTCAATTATTTCATTTATTTTAAAAATATCTGCTAGTAGTCAAGAACTATGCACAACCATGCAGCAGTCACAATCACAAAACTAAAAGAACAATAAAGTTGGTGAGCGAGTTGTCTACATGGACAATGGTCAGATTTGGATTTGAAGTGCAAATGTCAAAGCCCTTAATGACTTGGGGAGCATTGAGGAAGTCAATGGGTGAATGCTACAAATCTCAAAGATGCAGGGATATTATAGGAGAAAGGAGACTGATTATTACAGAGAAATAGCAATGAGAAATGAGATCAACAGCCCATGGGATGTAAGAGAATGTACGACATGATGTTCTAAAGTGGGTTAGCTTCATTATAGCCCAGGATTTACCAAAATCAGATGTGAGAATGAAGACTGGGCACTTTCTGATTCCTGTTCTCCTAGGCCAATCACTTCCAATCAGGACAGCATGAAGTGGTTGATGCAATGGCTCTCTGATGCTTAATAGGCACCACTGTAGAACAGCTGAAGCCTCTTGGGAAATAGACCCAGTCATCTGAATACAATTGTAGAGGGTAGGGACTTTCAGATGAACACAGTTTGCCTATTAACACCATGGCATCAGCTTGTCTGGCTTAGGGTTCACATCCTAGGGATTGTGAGTCTATAGGAATTGTCCCACTGTAAGGAATCACATCTACCTATTACATGGCTTAACTTAGACCACAAAGGGAAACCACTATTCTAGAGACTATGGGGAAGATTTTAGACCTAAGAGTGGTTTCGCTGGGCATGGTGGCACACGCCTGTAGCCCCAGCACTTGGGAGGCAGAGGCAGGTGGATCTCTGTGAGTTCAAGGTCAGCCTGGTCTACATAGTGAGTTCCAGGACAGCTGGGGCTACAGGGAGGCCCTGTCTCAAAAAGACCAAATAAAAAAAGAGTGTTTTTTTCTAAGATCCTGGGAAATAATGTCTAGGGGGACATAAGAAAGTCCACCAGGCTCCCCGAAAATTAACCTGGGAACCAGAGGAAAATTTTTCAACAATATCAGCACCAATTGAAAATATGGAAGCATCAGACATTTTGACCCTCCTGGGGAAGATGGAAGAAGCAGGAAGACAGATAAGAGAAAAATCCTGCATAGACTGTGATGGGTGATTGATGGCTTGAGGATACATGTCCTGGAGGCCAGCTGAGTTTCAGAGTGCTGGGATAAACAGGAGTGAAAAGCTGTGAGCTGTGTACTTGTGACTCGGGAGGCAAGTGTAAGAATTGTCTCCCTGAGAAAGAGACAGTTGAATTGGGTCTTCATGAAGGAGACAAAGTTCAGCAAGAAAAGATAAGGGGTGAAGATAATTATTTTCAGACAGATAAAATTACAGCATGTACAAAAACAAGGTGTCATGAAAAAGTGAGGCATCTCTGAGAGCTCCGAGCATCCAGGTGAGCGCACCCAAAACTTCTTGGAGTTGTTATTATCAAAACTCAAAATTTCAACTGTGGTTTTATTCACAATCCCCAAGACTTGGAGTCAATCTAATTGACTGTCAACAGATGAATATATAAATAAAATGTGATAGAGGGATGATAGGTGATAGATAGATGATAGATAGATAGATAGATAGATAGATAGATAGATAGATAGATAGATGATAGTTAATAGAACATTAGTCAGTCTTTAAAAAGAAAGTAATTGTGTTATTCACACTAATATGGGTATACATGAAGGACATTGTGCTATTGAAATAAGCCAAGAACCAAAAGGCAAATACTGCATGATCTCACTGATACATGCAATCTAAAACAGTCAAACTCAGAGAATCATAGACTACAATGGTAGTTGCAGAGGCTGAAGGAAGAGGCATATGAGATGTCAGTCAGAGTTCAAAGTTTTAAATATGCAAGATGACTATATGCTCAAGGTCTCATGCAGTTTGCTATTACAGTTAATGAGACTGTACTGTAGTTTTGAAATTTTCTGGAAGGAAGGGAGGGAGAAAAGGAGGGGAGGGGAGGGAAGGAAAGGGAGAGGGAGGGAGGGAGGGAAGAAATGGTAATTATGTGAGCTAACAAATGGAATTAGCTTGACTGTGGTTATTTCACTATAGTGCATAAAGCAAAATATCAAGCTGTAAGTTTTACATGCAGTTTGTATTTGTCTATTTGGCCTCCATAAAGATAGGAACAGTCTGCAACATGCTACATTTCTCCATATATTGAAATTCTTTCTTGGGATTCAACTTTATTTCTCTTCCTTAAGCCTGTACTAGTTTATGAACTGTGAGAGATCCTATTCTCTAATATTGTCTTTCTAGAATTCCCTAGAATTATTAACCAGCTTGCTTTATTTCTAGCTGTCTGTCGGTTCCCATGTCAGAATGGAGGTGTCTGCCAACGCCCAAATGCATGTTCCTGCCCAGATGGCTGGATGGGGCGTCTCTGTGAAGAGCGTGAGTCTGCTCTTGAATATTCCTTTGAATCCTTATCATTTTCTGGGAAGTTGCTGGCTTAAGGGAGTTCCTGACTGCCTTTACTGCTGTGAGGAATTCATTGGCTCAAATCTAAGTAGTAGATCAGAGTCCATAAGGCTTATCAATAGGTCACAGAAGATCTATGATACCAATGAGTCACATACCTCCTGGCACACATCCCATGGCCTTAGTTCTTAGGAAAGGGGGGGGGGGGGCAGGAGAGTTGTCTCGGTATCACTAAAATATTACAAACAAGGGCCTAAAATATAGCCAGCCCATCTGATTCTTGTTCTTATGTGTAGTTCAAGAAGAGAGCCTGAGGCAGCCAAACAGCATTTTATACAATTCTTAGTAGAATCTTACAGCATTTTATACAATTCTTAGTAGAAATTTGAAATGATCATAAATGGAGCTCATTCTGCTTATTTTGCAAAGAGCAAAAGCAAAGCACTTAGCCGACATCAGTTATAGACTATCCTCAAAGAAAGAGTGCATTTGGCCCCAGTCATTATGGCAGGGTAAAGGTCACACTTGTAGCAGGGTGCATGCGGGAAGTCAGGGTAGGGATCAGATATCTAGCAGATGCATGTGGGAAGATCCTCTCCTGGGCCGTGCAAAGTTTCTCCACCAGCAAAATGTGTTTGGAATGCTTGAGCAGATCTGAACATGGGCATTTTGATCAAACTCTTTTCAACATTTTTTGTTTTATTTTTAGCAATATGCATCCTTCCCTGTTTGAATGGTGGACGATGTGTGGCCCCTTACCAGTGTGACTGCCCACCTGGCTGGACTGGGGCCCGCTGTCATACAGGTAGGCTTCCTCTCCTGATTCATTTTCTTTGGGGTTTGGTCCCATGACAACCCAGGAGACATTGATGAATTTAACTTGAACCAAGAGGTGGTTTTTGCAACATAAGGGTACCGGACATCCTCAGAAATGTCTCAAGATGGCCATGTGGCTGGTGGTCTCAACACTGAACTGCGTTACACCTGAAAACACCTTCTAGGAGCATGCTCTAAAAGACATCATCTACATCTACTCCTACAGCAGATAGCAGATGTTACATGGAGGTTCAGAGGATTTCATCTCAATGAAGCTAACTTATTAAACTTATCACTACTACTTAGAAAAGCTCACAAATAAATGTAATTTCAGTTAAAATTTTTAAAAAATCATCAATGACATGGTATTTTATAAGGAACAACAGCAACAAAGTATGGTTGATGGTGACAAGCATGTCCCCCTTCACTGAGAACTTCAGATACAGCACTTAGCCCGCTGTACTTTACCATCTGTCTAATTGCTTGATTTTCTCTCTGCCCCTGCCCCCACTATATCATATACCTCTGGAGAGTAGAAATGTTTCTTTTTCATCGTTATATCCCCAGCACCCAGCATACTACCCAAATATAATAGGGTTTTCAGTCATGCCCTAAACATTGATTTACACAAACTAGTTTTTAACATTTTAATGCCCTAAATTTTTTTTAAATATCTTATTTTTTTTTATTTTATGTGTATGAGTATACTGCCTGCATGTATGTAAGTGTACTCATGTCATGAAAGCCCTCGGAGGTCAGAAGAAGGTGTTGAATTCCCCTGGAACTGGAGTTACAGACGGTTGTTAGCTGCCATGTGGGTGCTTGGAATCCAACCCAGGTCCTCTTCAAGAGCAGCCAGTGCTCTTAACCACTGAGTCATCTCCCCAGCCTCTGCCCTAAGATTTTTAAGAAACTGTTAAAAGAATGGAACATGCAATATTTATTTAGTATGAACCTTAACACTCCACCACCCTCTCCCAAGAATCTTTACATAACTCCTCAGTAGAATAAAATTAAAACTACAACAGGCCTGTTGACTCTGGGGCTTACTGTGAGCGTTAAGGCTGGGTGACCACAGACTGAAGTTCCAAACCAGGGTATTCTTGAGAGTGAAAGAAGAAAGCTGGATGTGGTAGTGCAGACCTAAAATTTCAGCACTTGGAGCTAGAGGATCACAAGTTCAAGGCCAGCCTAGGCTACACAGTGAGACTCTGACTCAAAAAACAACAAGAAAACCCAATAAGTAAAACAGAGAAATGGAAGTGAAGGATACTGTGTCACCTCTACATGGAGACATGGAATCCCTCTACAACAGCTGTCCACGAATATAGCAAAGGAGCCATCCCAGAAACTAAATTTGAAGCCTTTATTTGCAGCTCTCACGGTAATATACCTGTTTGCTCATGACAAATCAGCAATGTTAATTATGTGTGCCTCTCAAACTTTAACTGAGCTACAAACTACCCTGCCCTATTCCAGGTACCTTATCACTTCAGGTAATGGCAGTTCCAAATGACTGAATCATTCTCAAGCCCCCCTTTCCTTCATCTGAGATCATCAGCATCTCTTTGTGTTCCTTCCTGCACAATGTTGCTGACATTGTACACTACCCCACTCTCAAGAGCTGATAAAAGACCTCTGGATTGCAGCTAGCATCTACTATTTGGCTATCATTTCCATTTCCAGGCCAACCATCATTAACATTAACTTTTGACATGTCTTTACCCTGTTTTGGTTTTAATATTTTATTTATTATTTTTATTTTATGTGTAAGCGTGTATTACCTGCATGTGTATAAGTGCACCCATGTCGTGTGGTGCCCAAGGAGGTCAGAAGAGGGCGTCGGATCCCCTGGAACTGGAGTTATGGACAGTTGTTAGCCACCATATGGGTATTGGGATTTGAACCCAGGTCTCCTGCAAGAACAACCAGTGCTCTTAACTGCTGAGCCATCTCTCAAGCCCCTTCTTTGCCCCATTTAAGAACCTAGAATGATTGCCTATTATTATTTCCACACTCAGCCTGAATTCCTCTAGCATCAATCACAACCATCTCCGCAGACCAATCACAAACTGAACCAAACAGTGGCAACTTCCTCACTCCCAAAGCAGCCCCTTCTTCCTGTCCCCAATATTTTAGCATTTTCTCATCATCTCTCTGCTACACATTTTAACCTTAGCCAGCCTCCTAAGAGACCCCTTGTCACCAAACCTGTCCTATATCCCAATGATACAGGACTACATTCTGACATTTCATTTCTATAGATTCCTTCCTTCTCTGACTAGAATTAACTCCACTGATAAACAGTTCCCGTTTTCCTTTGTGAAATCACCTCAGCACGTGACTTCCTTACATCTCCTATACTGAGCACACATAGGATATAAAGTAGGATCACCTGCCTGGCAGAATTTCAGTCTAGAAAAGGGGAAGAGAGGCAGACTGGCCCGTAAATAGGTAACTAGGGTGCATCAGGACAGATGCTAACTGAATGAGCTTTGACAACAATGAGGATGAAGAAGCCAGCCATGGAGGTTCAGAAAAGACTGCACAAGTACACAATCTGGATGAAAGCAAGAAGAGTCACAGAGGGACTATTCTAGTCAAAGGCACAGAGCATGAAAATACATAGGTACACACCTGTGTGTGACTGCAACTCAGACACCTCTAACTGAAACCACAGAGGAAAGGCAGGGGCATCGGTGTAAAGATGGGAAGATCGTGTCAGGAATACATGTGCCAAGGTGATTTAGTTAGCAGCAAGACATTAGTTAGGAAGTTACAGATGCACAGTGGACAAAAAGTAATGAAATCTGGAGAAATAGTAACCAAAAATGGGTGAATCTGAGGGAAATTGGAGAAGCAGAATCAACTACCGGATTACAGCTCCATTGTGGGGTACAGGTCCAAGGGCAGTTAATATTGTTCTTTCCAGCTTGAACCCAGGACATGAAAGTGGTAACATTTACTGAGCCAGAAGTAGGTTTGGAAGTATGGGTAAGGCATTTAGGATGCTCAACTTGAGTCTTTGGAACATACAAGGGCAGTGGTCTGAAAAGACAGTTGCATGATAGTTTAGGTTGCCAGAGGATATGTCTAGATTGAAGATAGAGACTTGTAAGTCATCAATTTAAAATTTTGGGGGGCTAGAGAGATGACTCAGTGGTTAAGACCACTGGCTGCTCTTGCAGAGTAGTCAGGTTCAGTTCCTAGCACCCACATGGTGGCTAATAACCATCTGTAACTCCGGTCCCACAGAATCCAGTGCCTTCTTCTGACCTCCACTGGCATTGCATGGCACAGGCACACTTACATACATGCAGGCAATACACTCGTATACACACAAAAAATAAATACAGCCAGGGTGGTGGCGCACTCCTTTAATCTCAGTACTTGGGAGGCAGAGGCAGGCAGATCTCTGTGAGTTCAAGGCCAGCCTGTCTCCATAGAGAATCCAGGTAGCTGCAGCTACAGGTAGACCCTACCTCAAAAAGACATTAGTTAATGAATTCATTCATTCATTCATTAAAAAATAATAAAATAATAATAAAATAAAAAATTTGGCCTTTAGTTCCAGCACTGGGGAGGCAGAGGCAGGCAAATCTCTGTGAGATCGAGGCTAACCTGGTCTACATAGCAAGTGCCAAGCCAGCTGGAGCTACAGGGAGACCCTGTCTCAAAAAGACCAAAATAAATGAATGAATGAATGAATTAATTAATTAATTAATTAATTTGGTAAGGTTGGGGGAGAGCATGGCCCCATGCAGAAGGCCCAGGGCATGCACGGATGGTCAACACTGACCTGATGAGTGGGGAGAAAGCTGTTGAGAAGTGAAAATAGTGACTAGTTGATTAATACCATCAGGGACCACCAAGCAGCCCTATGCTCTTGAAAGTAGGTCATGTTTTCTTATATCGGCAAACAGAAACTGTGGGGAGTTGGTTGAGAGTCTCAGGTTTCCTTTCTACTGAGTTTTATCCTGTTCGTCACATTGTTTCCTTCCTTATTAAATTGCAAATAAATGTATTCTGCTGGTCTGTTCTTACTCTTGCCCACCCATGGAGAGTCCTCAAGGGAGAAAGCCTCATGTTTACTCCTTACTCTCCCTCTCCTCTTCCTCCTCTAAAATGCCTGGCTTTTGCTTAGCAGGGAATTTTGCTGTATTTTATACCTCAACAAAGATGGGATTTTTGTCCAGGAAAGGGCCTGCCTTGCTATGCGGAAACGAAGCCGAAATGTTGCTCGTGTCCAGATCTCACCTGGCAGGCATTTATTTGATTTCCTTTCGAGGAACTCTCCTTTTTGACAGGTTAAATTTTCTGATGTTATGTCATTAGCAGTTTTTAGCATCCTCAGTTTTTTAATGAATAGACTTGTACAAACAAGGAACAGGTGATCCCTGAGAAAGAGGCCCAGATAGTAAATCCGTAGGCACTCTCTCAGGGTTTCATCTGTGACTAACTTTAACCCTAATTCAGGTTCTCAAATTCTGATTAATCATGAAATGTGTCTCCTAGCCAAGCACAAAAGACGATTGGATCATGTGTTATTTTATCCACTCTGTATGGCTGATTTATTCTCCTATAAATCAGTGCCTGACTTAGTCAATCATAGAATTTATTTCTGCCTCCCTCAAGAGACTCACAACCTAATTGAGCCTATGAAAAGTTTATAGTTCAGGGGCTGGAGAGATGTCTCAGTGGTTAAGAGCACTGGCTGCTCTTGCAGAGGACCCAGGTTCGATTCCCAGCACACACATGGCGGCTATGAACCGTCCTTAACTCCAGTTCCAGGGGTATCCGAAGCCCTCTTCTGACCTCCACGACATTGCATGACACAGGTACACTCACATACATGCAGGCAATATACTCATACACATAAAATAAAAATAAATAAAATATTAAAGAAGACTAAAGAAATCTGACCTTAATAGTGAAACTTAACATGGGGACTTAAACATGAAAAGTGATCAGCTTGGAAGGGGAAGGGAAGGTGATGCCATATACGGATGTAAGGTCACACAGTGACAGCAATGGATGATACCAACGGTGGGTGAGGAATGGTTGGTGATGGTGTAGCAGCAAGCAGAGACACGTTTCATCCTGCAAGCCTTCGCAGGCATCTTTAGAATTTTCAAGTATTAAGTAAATAAATATATGCATCTTTTTCATCCTAGCTACTTGCCAGTCACCCTGCTTAAATGGTGGAAAATGTATAAGACCAAATCGATGCCATTGCCTCTCAGCCTGGACAGGACATGACTGCTCGAGGTAAGACAAGCCAAAACTAATGAAACCTCCAGGCTGAAACTCAGGATGTGTGATCTCTAGAGTCCGGCGATATTTCTACTTTGAGTATAACCACTGTGACTCTCAGGACATCTGGATATGCTCTCTAAATTTGAATTAAAGCTAAAGTATAGTGAGTCAGGATTGACAGAGCAAGATCTCAAAATGAATAGTATTAGACTCATCAGCACATATACTAAAATATACAATATACTAAAATACACAAATGTACTGTAGAGAGATTAACATGGTCCCTGTGCAAAGATTACTAGTCTGGAATTTGAGATCCTCCTACCTCAACCTCCCAAGTACTAGCTCAGGTTGTTTCATAATTAAAGTAAATAAATAAAAAACAGGACTGGAGACAGGTAAAGATGTTTTCTGTCAAGACTGGCAATCTGAGTTTGATCCCTAAGACCAAGGTGATAGAAGAAGAGAACCAGCTTCCCATGTTGTCCTCTGACCTCCATACATGCTCTGTGGTACACATGTGTCTGCACATACACACAGACACACACAGACACACACACTCACTCACATTAAATAAATAAATATTTTTAAAGCAGTAAAAAATTACATAAAGAAATAACTTTTAAATTCTCTTCTTAAACAGTGAATATATAATAAATAATGAAAATATATTCTTATTGAAAATGTCCAGGTAAATGTTTGAGCTCTTCTCTACAATAAAATTATTGAAAATGATAAGCAATGTTTATTTTTAAAGCCAAATGTTTTTAGTGTTTTATGTATAGTATTTCACTGACTACTGGAAAATGTAAGATATAACCAAAACAGGTCCAAAAGAAGTTAGTTTCAAAATCATCTCTTCATATTTAAACCTCAAGAAATACCAGACATGTTGCACCAGTCTGTGGATAAGTCTTCGGGATTCAGACACTGTGCTCACCAGTGTTGCAGGGCTGGAATAATGGAGGTTTCAGTTTGAGACTTCTCATATATACACACTGCAGCACACTACCTGGGTCTGTATTTTGTGTACTTACCCCCCATATGATGGGAATGATTTCAAACAAGTGCTATTGTCGTGTCCATTTTTAAAAGTAAGATGAAGTAAGCTGAAAATAGCTTATTTTTTCCACTTGCTGTTCTGTCATTGTGATTGGACTATCAAGTCAATCTGAAAAAAACACGCTATAAAAGTCAAAATGTAATTTAAAAAAGATGTCTTTGCCAATGAATTTTCTTACATCACCTTAAGAATATGCCATCACTGCAGAGAGAGAGAGAGGAGAGAGAGAGAGAGAGAGAGAGAGAGAGAGAGAGAAAAAAATCCTAAAGAGAACTTGGGGCTGGATAAATATAAATAGAATCTGCCAAGATAAAAAATAAACACATAGTTTTATATGAGAATAGAATTGAAAGAATTTAAGAACCAAAGGAAAGAAAAAGAGAAGGGAGGAAAGAGGAGGGAAGGGAAAGAGAGGAGACGGGAGAAGAGAAGGAAGGAGGAACAGAAAAGAAAAGACTGCTTAAGAAACCAGAAAATGTTTATAACTTTCCCGTCATGTGGACTTTGCATTGTACAGATAAGGAAAAGAAAGCCTAGAGTTGCTATGGTCCCCAGCACATGATTGTCCATATAGGGGCTTACTCAGGTAGTAAGAGCAGTTGTGAGTCTAGATGAAAATTACTGTCTATTCATAAAGCGAGCAGATCCTTCCTTGAGTTTTCAAATAAAAGTTTGATATAAGAACCCAAGAAAGGGGATGGAGAGATGACTCAGTGGTTAAGAGTGCTTGATGTTCTTGTAGAGGACCCAGGTTTTCTGTTCCCAGAACCCACATGGTGGTTACCAACCATCTGTAACTCCAGTTACAAGGGATCTGATGCTCTCTTCTTGACCTCCACAGGGATTGCGTGACATAAGTGTACTTACATACATGGAGGTGAAACACTCATACACTGTATAAAATAAAAAAGAAATTTAAAGAACTTTTAAAGAGTCTAAGAAAAGGCATAGCAAATTAAACTGAAAGCTATATTCCAAGCTCAAGAAGAGACTAACTGGCCACCCAGGGGACCTAGATACTTGTCTCTCCTGATGCTGAAATCAGTTTTTATAGGAGACTCAGTCAAATTCAGACTCTTATTAAAACTCTGAACAGTTTAGGCAAAAAAAGGGAACTGACTTAGAAGGACTTGTGTGCGGCCCAGACTGACAAGTAACTGAGCATGAGGAAGGACAGAAACAGACCTGAGGACATTAACTCTCCTGCCTCCAGCCTCATCTCCTCTCTCTGGCCACACAGCAGTCAGTGCACACTCAAGGGCAGAATTGCTCCCACCTCCCACCATTTACACATCACCCCATGGCATCCAGAGATACCATGTAATGCTCTTTCTGCCTTACAGATCCAGGAGAAGGAGACTGATTGTTACAGTTTGATTCCAGGGCCCAGCTTACATCAGTGGCTTGCACTGCTAGGCTGGGTTGTGTTGTACCAACATGAAGGAAGGATAACTTTGGCAAGGCATTGAGTGAAAGTTGGAGAGACTGTCAGGGCATGCAAGAAAGGAAGGTGGACTAGAATTCCCTACAGTGGGGTGGAAAGGAAGAGTTTCTGAGAGTCCAAACACGGAAACAAATCACTGTTTTCCTTGTCTCCCACAACACTGTCAACTGAGCATGTTTAGTACATGAGCGGGTGCAAGAGCGGAAGCTCAATAAGTGCCTGCTGGCAATGGAGCAATTGTCCGGTGTAATTGATGGCCCGTAGAGAAATGCCTTTTGACATCCATCAGTTCCCTCAACCTGTAACCTTCTCTGCTGATGAATAAGACTGACTGGGTCTTGCAGTTTAATTGAACCAGGTAGCTCAATTGTTTTTCTATTTCTGAGATAGGGTCTTATTATGTAGTCCCTAGCTATCATGGAACTCGCTATGTAGACCAGTCTGACCTTGAACTCAAAGATCAGCCTGCCTCTGCCTCCTGAGTGGTGGGATTAAAGGCATGTGTTACCATTCCCAGCCCAGGTAGTTCAATTCTTAAGAAAGAAATTGTGTGTTGGGCTGGAGAGATGGCTCAGCAGTTAAAAACACTGACTATTCTCGCAGAAGACCCAAGTTCAAATCCAAGCATCCACATGGCAGCTAACAACTGTCCGTAACTCCAGTTCCAGGATATCCCAGAGCCTCTTCTGTCCTCTGCGGGAGTTGTACAACATGGCTGCACTTACCTACATGCAGGCATAACACTCAGACACATAAAGTAAAAATAATAAACAAAATATTTTTAAAAAGAACGGAATTGTGCTTCTGTTACAGAGCTTCCAAACAATTGATCCTAAACAAATTCCATCACTAAACCTCCCAGGTTATGGGGTTAGGGAGATGACTCGGTGGGTAAATTGCTTGCTGTGCTAACGTGAGGACCTGACTTCAGATCACCTAGAACCCACGTAAAAGCCAGGAGTGCTGGCACATATCTGTAACCCCAGAGCTGGGGGTGGAGGACAGAGACAGGTGAATCCCTGGGGCTCACTAGCCAACCAAACATTAAGATCCAAGTTCAGTGAGAGATTCTGCCTCAAAGAAACAAGATAAAGAAAGATAAAGACACCCAACATTGACCTCTGTCCTTCCTGTGTGCATACATGGGTGAGCATACCTGCACACACACACACACACACACACACACACACACACACACACACACATCTCAGGTTGTTAATGCTCTAAGAGATCTTTGGGTTCTTGTCAAATGCTTCCTTTTACAGAAATGAATGTCACATAGGAAACTAGGAATAGAAACAGGTCTAAAACTTCCCTGACTTTTCACAAGTTAGCACCTTTCCTTCTCCCAAAGAATGATCCCCCATCCTCACACATGTCATCATGGATACGTGCACTGGGCCAAGACTTACAGTCCCATTCCATCAGCACCTTCAAAATTTCTTGTAATCTCAATTCAGTCTCTTGAATCTGTTGTTTTTGTTATGTCTTGTTTTTCAGGAAAAGGCGAACTGGGTTCTAATCACTGCACCCCTACAGGCTCTCCCAAAGCAGGATCATCTCTTCCTGGCAGCTCCTGGGCCTCCTGGAACTCACATCAAGAAAGTCCGACATGGTGCTGGGGCTTGCTGGGGCTTGTTTTGTTTAGTAAGCTTATTTGAGGGTGACTTTTTTTTTATTTTGTGACCTATTTTATTATTCTTTGTGACCTTCCTTCTTACATGTTTTCATTTTTAAATATGCCTGTATTTTCTATATAAAAATTATATTAAATAGATGCTGCTCCACCCTCACAAAATGTACATACTCTGCTGTCTGTTGGAAAAATTCCTGGAACACATTTTTATTCAGTTACTTAAAATAATTTTTCCATTAAAATATATTTTGCTACTAAATGACATTTGGCTGATAGTGCCATTTTGTAAGGCACCATGGATTGATAACGAGGACTCATGACCTTTTTCCTAAGCTTCTAACATAACACACAATCATATATAGTACACTGAGCAACCACAGTAAAGGAGACCCCTCCCATCAGTCCTGCCTGGTTTACACCATCTGTAATAGCAAAGACTCCGTTTCTTTAATAGGAGCGCACCTCTCAGACCCAACGCCCTCCACAAAAACAGTTCTGTCATGCTGCTGAGAATGGCACAAATCATTTCTCGTCCAGCATTTGGAAAGCTCTAGACATCAACTTAATAGTTGGTTGGCTTGTGATTTATAAGTGAACATACCCCTTCTTTCTCATAACTGACACAAGAGGTGCAAAACTTCCAAGATTAATGGGGAGCCCATACCTGGGCCATATCACAAGTCCAGGAGAAGGCGGAGAGGAAGAGCAAAACAGGGAAAGAGAAAGAAAAGGCAAACGGGAAAACTTCCCGGGGGTGTCCTCCTGGTTCTCCTCTATGGAAACTCTCAGCTTTCCAAGAGAGAGCTTCCCTGCCCTCCGCTTCATCTGCTTCCACCATTATCCTGCTTCGGAAAAGATTCCCCCAGAGTTCAGAAAATAGGGCCAGAAATAAATAATCAACTTGGCTCCACCCTCTGGAAGAACTTCTCTCACAGGGCGCAGGGTGCACTGTGGCCCTGTGGAGAGATGCGGGAAGGATGGAAAGGATTGCCCTTCCTAGTGGTCTTCCCTCAGTCCTTGATGTTATCTCCCGACATGCACCCTCTCCCCATTCTTACAGGCTTGGGTACCTGCTTTTCACTCAGTTTGTTTACCGTCTGTGAGCTTCCATACTATGTTGGTCTTTGTTACTTAGAACCATAAAAATATATAATAAAGTTTAAAATCTATGAGTAATAAAAAGGTGGTACCACAAACAGCAAGAAAAAGCATTTGAAAACAAGATTCGGTTCTCAAAGTACCTGCAACTAAATCGCCTGCCAAGTAGAATTTGCATTCTGTCCCTTTGAATGGGTTGAAAGGTTTCTGTCACAGTAAGTTGAATTAGATGTGCTATATAAAATTTCAAGGGAGGCTAGAGAAATGGCTCAGCAGTTAAGAACACCGGATGCTCTTACAGAGACCTGGGTTCAATTCCCAGCATCCACATGGTGGCTAACAACCATCTGTAGCTCCAGTTCCAGGGGGTCTGATGCCCTCTTTTGACCTTTGCAGGCATTGCACAACACAGGTGCACCTACCTACATGGAAGCAATACACTCATAGAGTTCAAGACAGTTAACATCATACAAGTGAGATTTGCGTTTTTTGCTCTTTCAGGGGAGCTGTGTGAGATGTGTACGTGCAGGTTTGAGTGCATGTCAGTCCTCAACTTCCACCTTGTTAGAGGGCAAGGTCTCTTGCTCAGTGCTGTTCACCAGGCTAACTGGACTGTGAGATTAGAGGGATCTGCCTGTCTCTGCTTCCAGTACCGCTATAAGCCCTGGGATTACAGATGTGCTATGGCACCAGGCCTGTAGAACATGGTCCTCCAAGCAAAACAGCTGAATGTTCTTCAGATCATCTGTGTCTGCTTGCAAGAGATCACCAGAAGCAAGCCTGTTGACAATTGCTGTTACCTTAAAGAAGGAGATGGTAGGGAAGGTCATTGGACCCTCACCTGAAACAAAGCCACCAAAGCCTTGTTTTAGGACAAGGCAGTTCGTCGTGACATTATTTTTATCAATAAAAACATGGGTATGAACAAAAAATACAACTGTAAGGAACTTAAACTATACTACCTTGATGGCATTTGCCAAGTTACATATTATACAGTCCTCAAAAATAATGCAATGCCATGGAAATGCATGGAAGGGGAAATGAGGATCTAAATCTTGACCAGGGTATGGCTCAGGTAGAGTCGGGAGGCCATGGGTTTAATCCCAACCACCTCTACTCTAAAACTTCCATGCTCAGAAGACTAAAAATCTATTTTAATGTATACATAATGAAAATAAGAAAGAAAATTCCCAGTATCAGAAAGTATCTATGTGTATCGTGTCTCAAAACAAGCAGCACTGGAGAGATGGCTCAATGGTTAAGAGAATCCAAGTTCAGTTCCAAGCACCCACGTCAGGTGGCCCACCCGCTGCCTATAACTCCAGTTCCAGAGGATCCGATGCTTTCTTCTGGCCTCTGTTGGCACATTCATAACCACCCACCAATACACATAATTTTTTTTAAATAAAATAAAACAAGGTATGTCTGGTCTCAAATATCTGTGAAGTTTTCACTATACTTAAACTCTGCCTTCTTTCTTGGCTTTCCATGCTACAAACATAATGTAGTTTAAGACAATAGATACATAAACAAGTCCAATAATACATGACCATCAAATGGGGTATGGTTTCTGGACAGAGAACGAAAACATTGTTACACCATAGGAAAGTTACTTCAGCCCCATTTCACAAGAATACCGAATACTGAAAACCACACCCTCACTTCAACAGATGTAAGTAAAGCATTTGGAAAAACCAATAGCTCTTCTTAATAAAAATCTCCAAAACAGGGCAAGGGCGATAACTCGGCCAGTAAAGAGCTGCCTTGCAAACATGAGGACGTTTGATTCCTAAAATCTGTGTTTAAAAGGTGGAGCATGCTTGCAACTCTAATGCTGAGGAGGGAGAGAAAGGAAGATCCCTGAGCCTCATGGCTGGCCAGCCCAGTCTAGTGGATCAGTTCCAGGCCAGCAAGAGACCCTGACTCAAAAAACAAAGTGTTTGGTACCTGAAGAACACTAGGAGGTGACCTCTGCACCCACACATGCACACACAGACACACACACACACACACACCTTTAAAACTTAGACTAGAGAGATATTTCTATAGTAAAGATTTTCTTTTCAACATAACATCAGCCATGCTTAATGCTCTGAAAGAGGCAACAGGATAAGTTGACCAGCAAATTGTCCTAGATAAACACGTTAACATACTGTGGTCAGATAAATGTCAAGTTCCTGTTGTGCCTTCCCCCAAAATAGAAAAGATGGAGCAAAATCAACCATGATCTGAAGGAGAAAAGAAACAAAGACAGCATGTCAGTAAGGTTTTCATGTGCTGTCTACAAGACATGGCAGGCCCTTGTGTGTTGTCACTGCAAAAAGATTAAAGTCCAGAGGCAGAGCTATGCTGCAATAGTACAAAAATGAGGTAAATGCCAACAATGAAGAATGACTGGAATATTCCACTGGCTCATAGAATGCTATAACTTCCAGGCCTCAAGTTCATGGAGTCAAAGTGTGTTTTAGAGCTGAGCACAGTGGTTCATGCCTTTAAATCCCAGCACTCAAGAGGCAGAGGCAGGTGGATGTCTGTGAGTTTGAGTCCAGCCTGGTCTACATAGTGAGTTCTAGGCCAGCCAGGGGCTACAGGGATACCCTGTCTCAAAAAAGCAAAACACAAACAACAAGAAAACCCACAATGTATGTTTCGGTGATGTCAAAAACATTAAATATGAAAACGAATATTAAAAGAACTTTAATTGACTCCAATTTGGAAATAGGAATAGAAAAAAACTGCTGAAAGTAAATCCCCACTATAAATCATGGCTGCATCTGTATATGACTGAATTATAGATTACTATTCATGCTTGTTTATGTTTCTAAATATTGTAGATTTCTTACACTGATAGCACAGATCAGAAAATAAACATTATTATTTAAAGTTAGGGTTACATGGAAATACAATGTCTTCCATGGAAAATGATTTAAAAGAATGTAAAGAAGGTAATCAAATTAATCAGATATTAAAATGCAAGTAAGCCGCAAGCAATTCAATTCCTACAGCCTTACAAAGAGCCAGACTGATACCTATGGAATAAATAACCTATTAGCACAGGGGACATGGAAGACAGCAGATGACACAGAAAACATTCACTGGCACCTTCGGGCCTCAGGAAAATGGACCAAGACAGGATTAAACAAGCAAGAAATCCATTAGAGGAAATGCTTGTGAGACAATTTATGTCAGGAACTGGGAGAAGCAAGGAGGTGTGGATTGTGTTAGTCACCCGCTGTCACTGTGATAAAGTGTCTGAGACAATCCATTTAATAAGGGAGGTTTATTTTGGCTCACAGCTCCAGTCTGAAGCTGCCCAATTGGCCTTGTTACTTTGGGCCTGTGGCAGCAGAGCAAATCACAGTGTGGAGCACCTGGTGGAGAAGGTCTGCTCATCTCATGGCAGCTGGGAAGCAAAGATACGGAGAGACACGGGCTGGGGTCCCCAAAGCTCTCTCAAGCATATATCCCAGTGGCCTAGATTCCTCCTACTAGGTCTGACCTCTCAAAGGTTGCACCAACTCCTAACTCCCAACCTTAAGCTAGGGACCCAACCCCCAACACCTAGTACTTCTCAGGACAGTTCAAGATCCATGTTGAATACAAGCCTGACCCTAAGAGAGGTGAAAAAGAAAAGTCCCTTGGCCTGTAACACAGGACTTAACACAAACTTAAGAAGATTAGCAAGGTGGTCAGAGGAGAAGTCTGTCTTCCAGGAGCAGCTTTTCCTTAGAAAAGCCCAGCCCAATGGCAGGGATGTAGCTTGCTTAGCATGCATGAGGCCCTGAGCTCAAACCTCAGCACCCCATGAACTGGGGGTGGTGTGCATGTCTATAATTCCAGCACTGAGGAGGCAGTAGGATCAGATGTTCAAGGTCAAGGCCACGTTGAGAAAAAAAAGGATAGAATCCTTGCTATTTTTTAGTCCTGGATAAGGAGCAGCAATGTGGGCTGTGTCTAAGCACCGTGGTAGAGGGTGGTGGGTGGATGTCAGGTGCAGCAGCTGGAGGCTCGGTGCACTGGGAAGTCTAAGAGTAGTATTCTCATGTCAGCCTCACTAACCCAGGAGTGAGGGGGAGAACTATTCAACATACTACTGCAGCAACTTATTACCTGGAAAATAAAGTCATTTTACAGCCCCACCCACCGTTAGTCACCAAAATTC